AACATGAAAAAGAACTTTAAAAGATGATTTCTTTCCATTTCTCATAGATTTTTTCAGATGAATTTGAGGATCTCGTAGATGTTATCCCTAAATTCCTCCGCCCCATTCGAGAAATACTCTAAAAAATAGTGAGATTTTTTCTTGTGGTTATTTTGCTGGGTCAAAACTACATTATTAAAATTTTGTGTTTGATGTGAAAATTGTTTTTGAAGACTTCTAATACACAGAATATTTAAAAAGAATAATGATTTTGTTTTTGAATTTTCGTAGATAAAAACCTGGATTTTCACATATGGCATAACGACTTTTCAATTTTCAGATTTTGTTTTTTTCAAAACTAATTTTGGGACCCATCATTTTTGTAGATGGTATATGATAATGTTATATGTGAAAATCTTCAAAACGATTTTGTTTCAATGATTTTGTAGATGTTATTTACAAAAATAATGGCTGTTTTGGAGAATTTATTAACTTTTTAGTAAGTTTTGGAAAATAATAAGACAAAATTGTAAGAATGGTCCCTTTGTTATGTCCAAAAATGCTACTTTGGGCCAAACAGATTTGGATTAGCACAAATAGTCCAAAGGTTTTTATTTTCCTGCGTTTTTGGTCCAAAACAGTTTAAAATTTCTAAAAATGATGCATTTGCCCTTTTCCATTTGTTTTTTCTTTTCTTTTTGTTATTTACTTATTTTCTAACTAAAAAACATTAAAAATAAAAGAAAATCTCTCTCTCTCTCTCTCTCTCTCTCTCTCTCCCTCCCTCCCTCCCTCTCTCTCTCTCTCTCTCTCCCGTTCATCACCCTATACCACCCACACAAACACCACCGTCCAATGCCACCTTCAATCACCCAATACCTCCCTTATTCCTCAATTATCACCATTCCTAACAGTTGCAAATGTAAAAAAAAAAAAAAAAAAAAAAAAAAAAAAAAAAAAAAAGAAGAGATAAAATAAGGAGCTGCAATCGAGAAGGAGGGTGCGACTTTGGGTGACTGTGTTTGTCGATTGGATTTTGAGAAGTGAAGGGGGGTTCCAATTTCTAGTGTGAAACCCTTGTCGTCGATCTAACCTTGTTGGTGTTTCAAGGTTCGGTTTTTCGATCTAACCCTTGCTGGAGCTTCCTGTTAAAGCAAGCCCTAGCACCAACCAAAATCGAAACATGAACAGAAGGATTAAGGCTTGAATCTAATAAGATACCTTGTATTGTTGAGGAATGGACTTTGCTTAAGCATGAATTAAAGGAAATTGGGGGTAAACGAGGCTTAATATGTCCGATTAGGAGTTAAATTGGGTTGCAAACTGATCTTGGAAGAAGCCAAGTTGAAAATTGATCTTGCCCCTACAGCAGATTTATAACCATCATTGGTATTAGAGGTGGCACCTACAGAACCTATTCCATAATCAAACTTTGAGATCTGGGTTAAATACACACACTGAAAATGAAATCCGGATCACATTCAAAGAAGATGAAAATGTTGTGTTCTAAACAGAAAAGAAAAATGGTTACTGAGATCGATGGAGGAATAAGGAAGAACGAATGGAAGCAGCTTGAGGGTCGAAAAGAGATGAATACAAAAGGGAAAATGGTGGATGTCGTCGGTTCTTTTTCTCCATTGAACAGTGTCGACGGTCCTGTTTGCGATCGATCGGAAGCTTGCTTCAGCTGGCCATGGCAGCGGTTTGGTGGTTATTCAGTCGGTCTGCCATTAAAATGGAAGGAAGACGAGAGGTTGGGTTGAAGAAGGCAACAAATTCGATGGTTGCTGGGTTTTTCTGGTGATTAGGAGAGAGAGAGAGAGAGAGAGAGAGTTTCTTTTATTTTTTATATTTTTAGTTAGAAAATAATTAAATAACAAAAAGAAAAGAAATAACAAATGAAAAAGGGCAAATTCATCATTTTTAAAAATTTTAAACTGTTTTGGACAAAAAATGCAGCAAAATGAAAACTTTTGGACTATTTGCGCTAGTCCAAACCTGTTTGGACCAAAGTAGCATTTTTGGACATACCACAGGGACCATTCTTGCAATTTTGTCAAATAATAACGAGATTAGTCCTATTTGTTTTTTCTCAAATAAATTTGTGTTTAATTATTTTTAGTTTTTATGTTTTAAAACATAATAAATATTATTTATAGTAAATTAATAGGATTTGATATTTTTTATAAAAAAATAGATATTTATTTTAAAAATATATTATGAAAGTCGTAAAAGACACACATTTGGCCATTTATCATAGCCTGTAGGCTGTAGCGCATGCAAACCTAACATGAAAAGGATGACTCGTTTGCCAAGGTACGTCTAACTTTTTCAACATATATCAAACATTAAAATTAATATATTACTTTGAATGCATGTTCTAAGTTTCTACTTTCTAGATGGTAGTGACTTATTATAAAGATATATATAAAAAAAACGTATGAGTTGTTGATATAACGTGACATGTAGGGGTGCAAACGAGCCGAGTCGAGCCCGAGCCTGGTCAGGCTCGGCTCGGTCTCGTTTAAGTTATATGAGGCTCGAGCTCGAGCTCGGCTCGATTCGATCTTTCTTGTACTGAGCTCGGCTCGAGCTCGTAAAGAATTATCCAAGCTCGGCTCGGTCTCGGGATCGACTCGTTTTTTATCTGACGTGCCTAAATAAGCTTAAGTTCGGCTCGAGCTCGTTAAGAAGCTCGTTTACTAATACCTTAAATCCGTAATTCCTCTAATATATTTTTATTTTAATATATATAAATAATAGAGAAAATTACACGGTTGGTCCCTATGGTTTGCTCTTACTTGCACGCTTCGTCCCTGGAAAGAATTTTTAACTCGGACAATCCCTATAACTTTATTTTGTTACCCGCCTAGTCCTTTAGTTAACTTTCCGTCTTATTTGGGGTTAGGAACTACTCACGTGAGTGGCACGCTGGGGGCATTTTTGTCCTTTCAACCCTACAACAGACTTAAAACTACTTCTCCTTCCTTCTTTTCTCAATCGATGCTTCCATTTCTCCTCTTCTACTCCATTTCTTTTGCTCGTGAAGATTGAAGATCCACAAAATTGATTATGGTGAAATGCAAGTGTGGAGCTGTAGGGATCATACGAACTTCAGGAACAAAGAGAAATCCTGGTAAGCCTTTTTATGCATGCCCTTTACAGGTATTGAGTTATCAATTTTTTTTGGTAATTTCTAGGATGAACCCTAGTTTGTGCTAATCGAGGGTATTGAAAAATTCAGGGACCAAGAAGTGGATTTATTTCGTGGGTAGATGAAGAAAATCATACGTATGAGGTTGAAAGCCAAAATCTTGAGCTTGAAATCCATAATGAAGAACTTCAAATCCAAAATCGTGACCTTGAAATCCAGAATGAAGAACTTGAAATCCAAAATCGGAACCTTAAAATGTTGTTAATTGTCAGTTGGATTTTGTTTTTTGGGATAATTGTTTACAAGTTGTAGTATTAGGTATTTCAGTAGTGGTTTTTGGTTGAAGATAATCTAATGAATGGGTAATATTAGCATGTTTGTATTGCTGCATTTTAATGAAATGGTATATTTTGGTACAATTAATAGTTGCACTTTGTTCTCTTATAAAAGATTACAATGGATTATTACCATCTTGTATTGCTGGAATTGGGAGAGAAAGGGTATCTATTGGTACAATTAATAAGTGCAATGCAATTGTAATCTTTTGGTATTTTTCATTTAACATATGACCAAAAACATGCCAAATGAAATGACCAAAAAACATGCCAAATAATCCATTATATAACATTAAATAAAATGACCAAACACATGCCAAATGAAATGTCCAAAAACATGCCAAATGAAATGACCAAAAAACATACCAATAATTGATCCATTAGATAACATTAAAACAAAAGCATTACATAAGAGTTTAACCAAAAACAAATGTCTAAGTACCAACTGCAATTGTTTTGGTGATACTAAACACAATACAGTTTAATCAAAATACAAACATCACATGACATAATAGTTTAACCACAATACAAACATCACATTACATAATAGCTTAACCAAAATAAGAGCATCACATGATAAAAGAGTTTACAATGGATCCTTCTCTTTTCCTTTCTTCTTTTGTTTTCCTTTCTCATTCTCTTTTCCTTTATCCTTCTCTTTTTCTTTCTCATTCTTCTTTTTTCCCTTCTTCCCAACAGTTGGTAACTGCCCTTTGCAAGTCCTGGCATTGTGTCCTTTGTTGTTACATTTGGTACATGTAACAGTTTTTTGTGCTCTAGAAACTGTATTCCCTTTGATCATATCCTCTTTTTCTGTAGCTGACTTCCTTCGTTTCTTTTTTGGTCTTCCTTTGGGACACGGTGTTTTGGAGGCAACAAAGTAGTTGGACAAGGTGACTTAATCCACATTCTTCTACCATTTATCGGATCCACTTTGAAAGAGTACATGTTCTCCAGGTTGATAGCCAATAACATTCATGAACAAAGGTTTCTGGAATACCAATTGCACCATTATTTCTCCTCATGTCCCAGATTGCAGATACAGCATGTTTGCATGGCATTCCAGTTATTTCCCACTTCTTGCATGAACAGGTTCGTTGATTCACATTCACTACACACTGATCTTGCCAAGGTCCACTCACTTGGTACTTCCCATTTCCACAAAATGATGTTGTATACTCCTCTGCCTGATCTTTGATCTTTTGCAATAGCTTGGTAGCTGTTGGAGTCAAAGGGCCTGTTGCTTTGTCAATTTCTTTTTCAACATTCACAATCCTCTTCATGATGTACTCCCGGATGAACTCTAAGCAATTGATAATTAGTGTGTCACGTCCGTCTATTATTTTGCTATTAAAGCACTCGCATATGTTGTTTATCACAATATCAGAATGTGCTCTCCCTATTAATTAATAGAATACATGTATAATTGGTTAGCAAACATTAGAGTATTTTTATGAACTCACTTAATTTAATGAGTAACCACAACAAGAACAACACAATGTAAAGAACATAATGCAATTCCTTAACTATTACTAAATAATATAAAATACCCATAATGCCCCTGTACCAACAAGATGCTCTTTATTTGATGATTACCCTAAACTACCCTTTCTCTAAAATAAGGTGACCAGAGTGGGTGCATAACAAGTATACAACAATAGTTATCATATATTATAATATATAACATGGTCAAACCTGTAAAATGAGAACGTGCCCAATGTTGAGGTGGTATTTGTTTAAGCCACTCATAACATTCTTGGTTTAATTTTCTAACTTCTTCCATTTCTTTTTCAAACTCTTGCACAGTATATGTTGTTGAACAATTCCAAAGCAGTTCTTTAAACTTATCCCCTCTCCAACGTGACCTCATATTTTCGTGTATGTGGCGAACACAATAACGGTGCTCTGCACAAGGAAACAAATCTGCGATGGCAGAACTTAAACCCTACAAGAAAGATACATTATGTCAATGATTTCTTTTCCTTTAGATATTAGTATTCAAAACACAAGAAAATAACCTTTTGCCTGTCTGATATAAATGTAAAATTTGAATTTGAAGCCAACCCTAGGTCATCACCCAAGTGAGTTAAAAACCATGTCCAAGAGTTCAGTGTCTCAGCTTCAACCACAGCATATGCTAAAGGATATATTCCATTATTCCCATCTAAAGCCTGTGCAATACAATCCAATAAATAAAAGTAAAAAATAAATCAAAATATATGGTTCAACCACAACATAAGAGAAAATGTACCACAGCAGATAAAATTTGACCATGGAAAGGTCCTTTCATGAAAGCCCCGTCTACCCCAAGAAAATCCCTCTTCCTGCTGCAAATCCTTGCTTCAAAGCACCAAGGCACACGTACACGCGTCTGAAGGTTCTTGTCTCAACATCAGGATTTGGTTCACTTTCGACATCAAGCTTGATAGTGGTGTCTGGGTTTTGAGTCTGCACTTCTAACAAATAATCTTGTAAGATCTTGTACTGAGTGGCATAATCACCCTGATAATTTTTAAGGCTGCTTGTCTTGCCCTAAAGGCTTTCATCTTAGAAATATCTACTTTGTAGATACGTTGAAGTTGTTCCCTTAAAGCCTTGACTGGAATTTTTGGGTTTGCTTCCACCAGTTGTAGAATTTGCTTTGAAAGAAACTTGTAATCACAAGCCCTAACCTTTCTTGTTTGAAGACATTTATGTTCACTAACATATGTTTTAACTGTCCAATCCTTGTCACGTTTCCACTTACTGGCTAAAAGAACCCAAGGACACTTACCTTCTTCATTGACTACTTCTTGACGGTCCCACCACCTAGGCTTGTTATGGTTCCCCTGCATACAACCCTTACTCTGTTTTTATCATTCTTCTCAAAATCCAACTCCCTTCTTGTATCTATTGCATGTTGGTTAACCATATCTTTAAACTCCTTTGACGAATTAAATTTCTGATATAAATAGAAAGGCTCACTGACTTGAGCATTTTCGTTCTCATGCGCCCTTCTAATAGCTTTAATCTTTTTGTTTCTTTCTCCTTCGATCCCATCATCCGATGAAGAGTCGGACAAGAAAAGTTCCATATCTATAACTTCAAGGTCTGCTTCATTCCCATCTTCTGTAACTACATGATTCTTTCTTTTAGAAGCACCTCCAATCCACTCAACATCTGGGTCAACATTCAAGTGGAATTCTCTCATGTCAACTTCAACATCATCAATGATATTGTCTTCGTCCACAAGAAAGTCACCATCTTGACTCTCACTATCATCACCACTGTTGATCTCATCACCACTGCTATTATCATCACTACTATGTTCAATTTCAGTTTCCATGATGTTTGCATTATCACTTACCATGTCCACCTTGTCAATTGAAGGCTCATTTCTAGTAGGTGAAACAGGAGGGTTGTTTCTATTAGGCTCAAATGTCAACACATCATTAGGCTCAACTTGTGTATCATGCCATTCCAAAAACAATCTTTTTGGGGTACAATCAATCTCAACTATACGTACCTTAGATGGGTTTGGTGACATCGAGTATGTGTGTAATTTCGTTTGCCCGTGCTCTGTATACACCTCTATTAGCTTATGTTGGCCAACATATTTTGCTAAATGCCTTACATCATCATCTGAAGCTAAAGCAAAGCAAACAAGCCAAAATCCAAATCGCATAGTGGCCTTCGAAAATGATAGTACATCTCCACATGTAGATTTTCATCGATATACCCAAGTTTCACCATCATGTCATCAATATCGTGAACATAGAAAGTCTCGATGTCTATTAACTCGACGTTTAAATAGCTTCTTCCAGAAAAATCAGTAAACTTTCCACCATGGTTTAATAGCATGCAAAACATGGTCGGATGATCACCTATTAAGGAAATGCCCCAAAAATTTTGATTAACATTTGATTAGGGTTGTAGGATTTCACGAAGCAAATGCAAATAAAAACGAGATTAGGGACTAGGCGGACTTACCATATTGAAGACGAACTTCTGCTTCACTGATCATCCGTCCTCGTGCTTCACTTAAATTCCAAACCAGCATTGTTGATTATTTGGAAAAGCATACAAAGTTTTAGCTAGCGACTAGGGTTTTCGTTTGAGAGAAGAAAGAGAATTCGTCTGACAAGTGTGTGTTTGTGTGTGTTTTGGTTTGACGATGATCGGAATCGTAAAACCATCCGTCTGTATTCTAAATGGCGCTAATATATTGTAGAGTTGAAAGGACAAAAATGCCCCCAGCGTGCCACTCACGTGAGTAGTTCCTAACCCCAAATAAGACGGAAAGTTAACTAAAGGACTAGACGGGTAACGAAATAAAGTTATAGGGATTGTCCGAGTTAAAAATTCTTTCCAGGGACGAAGCGTGCAAGTAAGAGCAAACCATAGGGACCAACCGTGTAATTTTATCTAAATAATAATAAATTATATTATGTAAAGGCTCGTTTAGGCTCGCGAGCCTAATCGAGCTTAATGACATAGGCTCGAGCTCGAGCTCGTTTAATAAACGAGCTTAATATTAAGCTCGAGCTCGGCTCGGGCTCGTTTAAAATCGATTTCGAGTCGAGCTTTTAACGATCCGATCCCAAGTAGCTCGCGAGTAGCTTGGCTCGTTTGCACCCCTAGTGACATGAAAGAATAAAGATTAATAGACATGTATTTGGTATCTAGATACTTAACAAAACTATCTCTTAATACTGGGAAACCGGATTAATGTTCGATTTTTTTTTTTTTTTTTTTGATGAAATTATCATAATGATATATTTAAAGTATAATCCTTACATGAGAAACTAGTTGGATGTAATATCTAATCCCAATTTGATCGTATAATCTCTTTGTGCAATGAAAATGATTATTAGGTTTTATGTTGCAATATGAAAATGGTCCCAGTAATGTCTCATCTTTAACAACCTCAATGGCAGCTTATTTTCGACTTTAGTTTGGTGTGTTTTAACTTACATCATTTAGGGATAATCACCAAGCCAAAAAAAAAAAAAGGATGTTACTTATAAATTAATTAGATTATATATATAAACAAAAAATAATATATGAGAATTTGAGGATGGACCTAGAGACCTAGAGACCAAAACAACTACATGGCCATGAAAACTATAGGAAAATGATCTATTCGTAATTATCCAAATGAGCACAACGTTTGAAAAATTGCATTTCAAATTTTATCTATTTTGTTTCTCACAACTTAAAAGCTTTATGTCATGTCACAAAATACAATTATGAGAAAAATATAATTTTTTGTATTCAAATTCCGAATTTTAGATTCCAAGCTAAAAAAAGCAAATTTCCAAATTTCAACGACATAACTAAATCCAAAGAATAAATCCATAATCTCAAGATAAATATATCATTTCTTTATCTAATAACAAAAACTTAAAAACATGCCAAAACGAAGTAGTATACTTTTTTTTTAATCAAATAACAAAAAGTAAGAACAAAAAAATGTCAAAACAAACTAGTATACAATATTACAATTGGCTCAATTTTTTATGATTATCAAATTTTTATTTTTGACTTGTTTCACATTCAAACATCCCCTTTTTGACATGTAGGAACATTTATTCGCCGAGCCGACGACGGTGAAGTATGAAAGTGTTGGTGACAGGGGCTTCAGGTTACTTAGGTGGAAGACTCTGCCATGCGCTCCTCCGTCATGGCCACTCCGTTCGGGCGTTCGTCCGTCGCACCAGCGATCTCTCCTCCCTTCCTACTCTGTCCGACGGCGTACCTCTAGAACTTGCCTATGGTGACGTTACGGACTATCCGTCACTTCTCGCAGCTTGCTCCGGCTGCCAGGTGGTTTTCCACGCCGCTGCTCTAGTGGAACCATGGCTTCCAGATCCTTCCAAATTTGTCTCTGTAAGTTCAATAGACTTGAGACTGAAATTAATTTTGATCAGAAAAAAAAAACTTGGATTGTTTTGATTTAGTCTGATTACAATGACTAGGTCAATGTTGGAGGGTTGAAGAACGTAATTCGCGCGTATAAGGAAACGGATGTGATAGAGAAGATCATTTATACCTCATCATTTTTCGCGCTAGGGTCAACCGACGGATATACTGCCGATGAAAATCAAGTAACTACTTCTGCTAATTTCGTTTTAAAATCATTTTCTGTGAATTGTTCTGCGATTAAGTGGAAATTTTCCGCTGGGAATTCAACCTATCACTTTACAATTGATAATCGGCGTTTCTAGTTTTCTAATTTGTTCAATTTTCTGTTGTAATATCTTTTTATAACTTAATGTTCTGTCTGCTTTACTTCAATTGTCCTTCATATCCTTTGATTTGTGAATAAATGAAGAGTTAAAGAAGGGTAAAACGATCAAAAAGGTGCAAATCTGTTCGTTTTCCAACCAATCATGCTTATGGAACTTAAATTTAAAGCTTTTTGAAGCTGATGGAGCATTTCTCTGATCAATACCTTTAATTGCTATTAGCACAATACCATTAATACACAACAACTTTCAAAACACAAGACTTTCCTTTCTAGGTGCTGCCCTATTTTACTTTACTAAGAAAGGAGGAACGAACCATGTATGATTAGCAGGATATTTCATTTTACCAAATATAACTCAAATCCATAATCAGTGATGCGTGAAGAATATATAATCTGGTACTTGTTTCCGTGGTAATTAGTTCATGGCTAAAGTAACATAACATAGCCTTACTTGAGTTGAATCCATTCTTTATAGATCCATTCAGCCAAGTTTTTCTGTACTGAATACGAGAAATCAAAAGCTGTAGCTGATAAGATTGCTCTAGAAGCTGCAAATGAAGGAGTACCTATAGTAGCTGTTTATCCTGGAGTTATATATGGACCTGGTAAAGTCACTGCTGGGAATGTGGTGGCCCGATTGGTAATTTCATAACTTGATAATTTCACTAATTTTATAGTTACTATAATAATTCTATAACACTAGTTTTTGTTTGTTGTTATGATTAAACAGATTGTTGAACGATTTAATGGACGATTACCTGGGTATATAGGTCATGGAAGTGATAAGTTCTCTTTTAGTCATGTAGATGATGTGGTAGAAGGCCATATTTTGGCTTTAAACAAAGGCAAAACGGGTGAAAGATACCTTCTTACAGGAGAAAATGCATCATTCATGCAAGTTTTTGATATTGCTGCAACTATAACCAACACAAAAACACCTTTTTTCAACATTCCATTGTTCCTCATCAATCTTTATGGTTGGGTATCCGTGGTGTTCTGTAGAATAACCGGAAAACTTCCACTCATCAGCCCCCCGGTATTTACATTTCCGTTTCCATTATTTATGAATTTTCTATGACAAGGATGAGGAGGGTATTTATGTCTTTTCCATAGATGAGTGACTGAGAACAAGTCTCTGGTCCCATCTTTTGGATGGGATAGAAAAATGCAACTTTTGTCTGATTGACATTGGTCTTAGTCAAATTGTATGTCAAATGCAATACAGCTTGTTATGTCATGTCATGTTTCTTTTTGTGCAGACAGTATAATGATTGTTGGTTTAATATTGAACAGACTGTGCGTGTATTGAGCCATGAGTGGGCTTATTCGTGTGAGAAGGCGAAGAGAGAACTTGGGTACAAGCCGAGAAGTTTGAAAGAAGGTCTAGAAGAGGTTCTTCCTTGGTTGAAGGACTTAGGCGATATTAAATACTAACAAATACACGTTAACATTGATCCTAAATATTACACCTTCTTTTGTTTAAGAAAAGTGATTTTGATTTGGTGTGTTGTTATGAGCTTGACTTTTGAAGTAAAGCGTGTGAATAATTTGATATTGTTACTAATTCATCTTTGGTTCAGGGAAATCCAATGATTAAAGAGAACTAAGTGATCTTAGAGCAACCATAACAGGAACAGGAGAGTTTTTTGTTGGTGTTTTTTTATTTTTTTTATTTTTTATTTTTTTTAAAAAGCTTAAAATAAAAAATTTAACTTGTCTCCCAAATAAGAGAGCTTCTTCAAATTGCTTTTTTTATAGACCCTTGTTGACCAACCAAATTGTTGAAATAGATTAAACCAAGAGATTGTTTGGAATAATTTTCCCTTACCAAAACACCAAAGAATATGTACAAATACATATGGGCTTTTGAGAGAATCTACTGGACTAACCGGACTACATAAAATGTTATACATGCTCTACAATATACATTAATACTCCCCCGCAGTTCGAGCGGTAAGAACACTCCAGATATTTAAACTGTCTCTAAAATCCGTAAAAAGTGAAGTTAGAAAGCCCTTTAGTAAAAATATCAACATACTAAAGAGTACAAGGGACGTGAACGACACGAAGTTGACCAGTGGCAACTTTATTGCGGACGAAATGAATGTCAATTTCAATGTGTTTTGTCCTTTGATGTTGAACAAGATTGGTTGAGAGATAAATAACACTAACATTATCATAATAATAGTAGTTTTCGGAATAAGGATATGGAGCTCACGAAGCAGATTTTGCAGCGAGCATGTCTTAACAACTACATTAGCAACACTACAATATTCTGCTTCGACACTAGATCTCAAATTGGTTGGTTGACGTTTGGAGGACCATGAGACTAGATTATCGCCGAGGAAGGCCCAATAACCACTTGTAGATCGGCGTGTAGATGGACGACTGCCCCGGTCGACGTCTGAGTAAGCAATAAGGCCAGTAGTAGAGGAGTGGTGAAGTTGGAGACCAAGATCTAAAGTTACGTATATGTAATGCAAGATGCGGTTTAAAGAATGAAGATGAGCTTCGCGCGGGTGATGCATGTATAAGCAGATCTTTTGCAGAGCGAAGGAAATATTTGGTCTAGTGAAGGTCAGATATTGCAGGCCTCCAGCAAGGCTACGATATAAAGTAGGAGCTGCAACGAGAGAACCAGATGCATCAAGCTTAGATTGTGAGTAAACTGGAGTTCAACACGGGTTGCAGCTTAACATATTTGGTCTTTCAAGAACTTGTAAGGCATATATGTGCTAAGACACGAATAAACCATCTTTATTTGATGTTGCCGAAATTCTTAAAATATAAGGTAGGGGGCAGATTCTTCA